ATGTTTAGATAGGCTAAACATCGCATTACCGTTCGCTTACCAATCTTCACACTGTGATGTTTAGAAAACAGCTGATCGGTGGTTCCAAAATGGCTGCCCGCAGCGTTTTCGCGCGCTGCCCTCGCTTACTGAGGCGGCGAAAATGGCGGCGCTATGGAGGATCTTCGCTCAACGGTGAGTTTTGTCCTCATAGGAATGCATTAAACGGAGTTTAATGCGTTCCTATGGGGTTCCCCCCCCGCATAGTGATGTTTCCAGATAGTGACGTTAATCCTGGAACGGATTAATGTCGCTATGCGGCGCACCACTGTATTCTCCTACTTCTCTATTCCAGTTGCCACAAGAACAGATCATGCTTTTGCAGGAGCAGTTCAAAAATCCACTGCTTGGATATATTTTAATCACAATTCCCTTGACTTCAGACCAATTTCCATGACCAATTTCCATTTCCCTGACTTTCCAGAAAGTGGCAACCCTGTGTTAACAAGTTAAGTGCTTCAGTTTGATGTATCACATTGCACCTGAGTGGATACATTTTTTTTCAGGTCTATATACAACCATCAAGTAAAAATGGAAAGAGTACACTGGGGAGTTCTATTTCCCCAGGAGTAAGAGGTTCTTGGGCCTTAATGAAGAAGCAGAGAGCTGCAAGCTAACACAGGATGAAGGAATAGCTGAATAAGTAGGTAGGAGTAGCTGTCACATTTAGAGAGCCATAATCAACTTTTTATTTTTGAACTGAAAGGAGATTGTTATAGTCAGTTATCCTGATTTCGAAAGCATCCACACCCAACAGTACAAGCCACCAAACCCCACCACATACACATATGAAACTGCATATAGCAAACTTAAGATTTAAGCTATTGAGAAGAAAACTGTTACAAACCAGTGGAATGGCTCCAAGGAGTTCTTCAAGATTACCGTAACCATATGCTTTAGGATGCAACACTTCACCTGTGTATTTGCTATAGGCTGTTGAAAACTCATGAAGGAAGATCTGTTGGTAATGATATGTATGAAGCAAAGACCTCACTTTCTTGGCAAACACATACAGGTTTGTAAGCTTTACATATTCTGTTTCCCCATTGATAAAAACCTGTGTGGAAAAAAATTACAAATTTTAATTGCCTTCTCTCTTTCACATCCTAAAGAATATTAGAGGAAACACTGATAAAAAAACACTTCTTTTGAAAAGCTGTTGCCTCATTGCTGTGCAATTTTTTTGAAACCCATCAAAAACAAAAGGGAGGTAAATCACAAGAATCAAACACAAAAAACAATCCAATTAACAAACAATATTGGGTTACAATAAGCCAAGAAGATTACATGAAAATACACACCAGAAATTTAATATACCGTATTTTTTTGCTCAAGGATGCACCTAACTTTAAGACACACCTAATTTTTTAGAGACGCACCTAATTTTTAGAGGAGGAAAACAGGGAAGATATATTCTGAAACAAATAGTGTAATAAAATATTTAATAAACTATAACAGAATAACATTTGAACCATGTAAAGTGAACAGCAGTCAACAGCGGCATTAATATAGACCATTATCAGCCAGTGATAAGACCCATACCACTCTACCTATATTTTACATTTCCTTTCATCCACCTCCTCCCCATGCTTATAGAAATGTCTCAATGACAGATGAGATTGTTGTGCAACTCTGCCCAGCTACAGCTCAAGCCTATATTAAGTTAGAAATGATTTGTCTGATTTGGCACTGCATTCAGTGGTCCCTTTTAGTTGTGTGGAGGATAAATAGTGGAATTAAACTATTTAACAGCTGGTTTTCCTTATTTCCTTTAGGTTATGCAAAAGAACAGCAACACAAGCTTAACCTGATCCCATTCACCAGCAGTAGCATATGCTCAGCATAAGACCAAATCTCCATTTTCTGACATAATTGAACGTTTATAGCATGCAAGGCACAACAGGTTAGGCCACACAAAGCCAAAAAAAACTTAATACAAACTATAGTAGCTGAAATTAGGAAGCAGGTACTGTAATCCGGTTAGAAGTCACGAGGCACAGTTAGTTTCCTTGCTGCAACACCCTTTGGAAATACATTCTCTATTAGATGCCCAGAACTAGTTGAAAAGTTTGCAAGTTGAATCCAAATTTCCCATAGAAATGCATTGAAAATTAATTAATGCATTTT